TTAAGTGCACTTTGTTTTTTGAATTGTATGCAAAGATTTACTGCTAGAATGTGAGCACCCTCGCTAATAGTTTGGGACGACGCCAAAACATTTGAAGCAACTGAGAAAGCGTTGAAGGGGATTTATGAAATTAAGGTAGCAAAGTCATTTTTGGAAGGAAATCGGTTGATATGGAATTTTAATTTGTCGAGGACACCCTGGTGGGGTGGATTTTTTGAAAGAATGGTAGCATTAGTGAAAGGCTGTCTGGAGAAGGTGTTGGGTAGCACTAAAGTGAACGAGGAAGAATTATTAACAACATTAGTTGAGGTACAAGGCACTTTAAACTCTAGACCATTGACTTATGTATATGAAGATGAAGTGAATGTAGATGTACTGACTCCTGCACATCTTATGTTTGGAAGAAGATTAACATCTATTCCAGGCAAAAGAATTATGCATACTATTAATGACGAAGATGCAGGAGTGATCAAGCGTAGGTTTAGGTATTTAGCGAGATTGGGAAAGCATTTTTTGTCCAGGTGGAGGAAGGAATATTTAACAAGTGTAAGGAAGTGTCATAAGGCTGGCAAAGTAAAGGGTATTTTGTGTCCGAAAGTAGGTGATGTAGTTCTTGTGTTTGAGGAAAGTTTGAAAAGAGGATTTGGGAAAATGCAAGAATTGAGAGATTGATCAAGGGAAAAGATAATATAGTCTGAGCAGCAAAGTCAAAGTTTTAGCCAGGAAAGCCACTGCACATAAGCAAGCCTCTTCAAACTGTATCCACTAGAGATGAATGCAAGGGTAAGTAAAGAAAATGTCAGCGTCCTACATGTAGAAAATACAATCATGCTATTCTTCCTCCCAATACTTTTGAACAGGTTTTACTGTTTTCCTACCATGCAGCTTATAGTCAATAGTTAAAAGTTGGTGTATCAATTTAGATATGATTTCTCATGCATGTTTATCCATACTTCATCTATAGATGTTTCTTTAGCTAATTTGTTAAGTCCGTAATGTGGATATAAATGTCGCTTTACTTTTGTAAAATTACCTTTGTTGTAGAAGTAAGACTTTATATCTGACGACCTCGCGTCAAATTAAGCTTGCTTCAGTTCTTTACATGTCACATACCTAACAAAGGATGAGAGATTTATTAAAAGAACGCGACCACATACATATCAGTTTAAAAATGGTGATCATACTTCATACCTTATTGTTACATCAATCTTTATCCATGTAAGTTTTGTTACATAAACACATTTAAATAGCAAACGAAGATGAAGAGTGAGTCAGGATCTCCTTTAACAAACAGTATTATAAAACATTAATGACGCCTATTTAGAACATTCTAGTTATATAACTAAGTATACATCACTGACTAAAAACAATCGTTATAGAAGTAAAAATACATAAATAAGAACCTCATGCAGAGTACATAATAACATTGAGATTAGTCAAATTCCAAAGGACTACTGCTAAATCTTATAAAGTTTCACAAGTTTTAACTAAGGAATAGAGAATCATCTATCTAAGACAAGATTTGAATGCCAATGATTAAGACACGATTTTCGCAACTGTGAATGGAGTTTTTTCCATCATTAATGAAAAATTCCATACATGTATATTTTTGTATAAGTCAGTTCTTATTATAAAAAACCTTTGTTATTTAATAAACCATTATAAATTATAAATACATGGCAAACATCAACTGCACGCAATTATATTTACTTATGATCAATAAAGACACTGTGGATACAACAGTAAAGGTTGCAATGAAAGTAAACCTTAAAACTGTTAAACATGGCCTAAACTATATTTTTAAAAGCTCACTTTGTTGCATGAATGAACATTTCCCAAAAATAGATTCGGTTGCGTCTTTCTCTGTGTAAACACATTCTTCCTGTGTTCAACATTTGCTTATATTACAAATGTTCTAAGTTTTAAAATGAATGGTTAGCTTTATACAATTAACAGCATTTTGTTAGACACACAGCGATTAGTCAAAAGTGGCGTCGGCAAAAAATGGAGGTGATGCATGATTGGACATGCTATCCTCCCTACATAAATTTTCACAGATTCCCCTTATATCCATAGACAAGTATGCTATTTCACCTCTCGCCTACCTTTGAACAGGTTTTGCTTTCCTTTACAATGCAGCTTATTGTCAATAGTTAGAAAGTTGGTATATCAATTTAGATATGATTTCTCATGCATGTTTAGTGATACTTTATCGAGATGCTGCTTTAGCTAATTTGTTATGTCATTAGTGTAGTTCTAAAATATCGCTTAATTTTCTAAAATTACTTTCTTTCTAAAGTAAGACGACATTGTGAACAAAATTATGCTTGCTTTAGTTCTTTCATGTCACATACTCAACAAACAGATGAGAGATTTAATATAAACAACGCGACCACATACATATCAGTTAAAAATGGTGATCATAGTTCATGCCTTATAGTAACATTAGCGTCAACAGAAATTAAATGAAGATATGATCTTCGCACTTTGCCGGACAATTTAAGCAAACACCGCACTGCATAAAACATTCATATTAGCGTCAACAGCTCGACGAAAGATAATTGCAAAGTTACAAAACGACTAAATGTTTAAAAAAATCCGACTAAATATTTCAATTATCAATGATGGCATGCATCAGTCCATTTGCAATTTTAAACTTAATTTTCCTCCAGATTCATAAATGTCACTTCATACTATCACAAGTATAATAAAATAACACATATTTTATAAATATACCGTCCGGACCAAAGATGAATATAATTGCATGCTAGCAAGCAATTTGAATTTCTTGGCAAACAAACACATCACGATAAACAGGCCTTCCTTTCGATGGCAGTAATTATTTTTCGTAAGTAAATTGTTTGTATTTGCAACTTCGTTTGATTGGTATACAATTACAGGATTACAAATTGCTACGGGTATCTATAATGTATATTTCATAGTACTAAGGTGTGACTAATATTTAGTAAAAATATATTAAATATGACAAACATTTTGTATTTAAGGTCACATTTATACATCGTAAACACACATGATAATTCTTTATCTTTTGTATTACAAACCTTTTGCAGGTCGACGGTTGGAACTTTGAACATTCAATCTTTCAGATAAATTCAACGTTCTGAAGAGTTAAGCGTCAAATGTCTGCGTCGCTTGAGTGGATACGGGGCAAATAATTTGGGCCTTTATTGTTATGTAAAACAAAGACACAGAATAGATTACCTTATCTATTCTGTGACGACAGTATCACTGTTCAATATACGTTGAAATTTGATAAAAAATAGGACAACTTCTTCTTACAAAGTTTCATTTTATCGTTAGAAATTACAATATTTAAGCAGCTTTAAGGCAATCGTTTGCTTTCTCAGTAAAACAATACCGAAAATGATTTCCGACAACTTGGTATTAATTGTCATCGGGTCGTCGGTATGGTCGTCGGTCACAAAAAGTGATGACGTTTCTACCTTTGACTGATGGAAACATGCAAACTAGTCACTATTCAATATTATCATTCATTTTGATGGTGTATTTGTGGTTGTATATGCCAGAAAATGGATGCGATACATACGAATTCATTTTATTCCTCCTGTCATTGAAGATAACCCAAACGGCTGGGGTCCTACCTCTGTTTCAGATGCATTTAAAGGAATACCTTATCAACCATTCTATAAAGGAGATAAACTTGGCAAGGTAAAATATTTTATATTTCATAAGAAATTCCTTGCTATCAATGTCTTCCACTCTGACCTTTAGTTGTTCTTATATTTCTGTGTCACGTGGTGAAATTTATAATCATATTTTACTAGCTATTATTGTAAAACATTGTTATGTAGTCATCATTAAAAAACCACTCTACACTTTTAAGAGAATAAAATATTATTTCTTGTATTGACTGTATAAATATATAGGTCTTATAACATACATTTTCATTTTATGTAGGTTTCTGATTGGTCAAGTACAGCCTATCAAGATCATTGATACCAAAGTTTGTATTCTGTCTAGACTTCACTATTTTCATGCAGTTTAATCATATTGTTTTACTTCTATAGATAAATACTTAAATCAATTTGGTAGTGGTAATCAATATGCATATTATCATGAAGAAGATGAATCAACTTTCCATCTTGTTGACACAAGTCGACCACAAAAGCCTGTTTACATGCGCAATAGGAACAAATTCAATCAGGTACAATAGAAACTTTTCTATACTTTTAAGTCTCAAAATAAAATCACTTCTGTATTATATTTGTAAATTTCTTCATCTAAATGACTCCTTTTCATATGAACAACATTAACATAAAAATTTTTTATTTTTTAAAGGAATAATCGACGTGGTAAAGAGCGTCAAATGCAATGTCAGCAAGCTGGGATGCAGAATTTGTTGAAGACTCGTGACAACAGACTCCATCGTAAATTGCAGAAACAATTTGCCAATAGAAACAACTGGCAGGAACGTAGAAATCAGGTTTGTAATAAACTTAGTTGAGGGAGGGTAAGTTTTAAGGTGCAACCTCTGTGAAGAAAGTGGACAAAAGAATTGTGATAGTGTGATACATGTATGTAAACTTTGAACTCCAAAGGATACATTATAAATTTATAGTAATTATGCAACTTGCATAAGATATTATGGTACACAAACGGATGTACCTCAACCATGAACACCTCGGATGATACATAATAAATATGTAGTAACATGACTGGTACACTTATGGATATATTGTAATTTTATATCTTTATATTTAACTTATATGTAGACTCCTCAGAGGATATATAATAAATATGTAGTAACATGACTGGTACACTTATGGATATACTGTAATTTTATATCTATATGTTTAACTTATATGTAGACTCCTCAGAGGATATATAATAAATATGTAGTAACATGACTGGTACAATTATGGATATACTGTAATTTTATATCTATATATTTAACTTATATGTAGACTCCTCAGAGGATACATAATAAATATATAGTAACATGACTGGTACACTTATGGATGTACTGTAATTTTATATCTATATGTTTAACTTATATGTAGACTCCTCAGAGGATACATAATAAATATATAGTAACATGACTGGTACACTTATGGATGTACTGTAATTTTATATCTATATGTTTAACTTATATGTAGACTCCTCAGAGGATATATAATAAATATATAGTAACATGACTGGTACACTTATGGATATACTGTAATTTTATATCTATATATTTAACTTATATGTAGACTCCTCAGAGGATACATAATAAATATATAGTAACATGACTGGTACACTTATGGATGTACTGTAATATTATATCTATATGTTTAACTTATATGTAGACTCCTCAGAGGATATATAATAAATATATAGTAACATGACTGGTACACTTATGGATATACTGTAATTTTATATCTATATGTTTAACTTATATGTAGACTCCTCAAAGGATACGTAATGCGTCTGTGATGATTCGGGAAGAGTGGAAGGTTATAATATCTTGTTTTTATGTGTTTATGAAGATCTCTCCATTTCTGTGCTTTGTTAAATAGGGTAAAATGTGGTGAACTGGAATATTATGACAAGGCTTATGATCGTGTCAACATTAAGAATGAAGTCCCACTTGCCTTGCAAAACAGGATTTTCCATAAAGTCACAATGACTGATGATCCTGTTATCAGAAATGTAAGAAAACATTACTTGCTTTCATTGAATTAAATGGTTTGGATAACCATCATAATGATAACCACCAATGATAACCACGAATCTTAACCACCAATGTTAACCACCAATCATGACCAGTTATTAACCACCAATCATGACCAGTTATTAACCACCAATCATGACCAGTTATTAACCACCAATCATGACCAGTTATTAACCATCAATAATAACCAAGAATTATAAGCGCATGCATATTACAAATGAATTTTAGGAACGAAATGTAAAAATATTTACTTTATTGAAAAATTTAATTGTTCAATTTACTTTGATTTTACCAGATTTTAATGAAAGGAAATTTGTTTGCTACAGATACCATTATATCTACAAGAATTATCAATATACTATTAGTGATATTTATAACTATAAATTAAGTATTTACTTCATGTGTTTTAGCGTGTTGGCTCTGTTTTTGACATGAGAGATGAATCAGCATTTGGTTTGTAAATTTTTTGTTTTAATTGATAATTTAAGAAACAACAAGCTGTTTTTTTATTATTGATCTACGTTTTTTAGATCTTTTGACTGTTAATGAAACAGCTGTGGAAACACCTATAGATGATAATACAGAGAAAAGCATAAACTCTACGACAAACCTTGGTCTGGAAGCAACTTTCATAAACCAAAATTTCTCACAGCAAGTCTTAAAACGCTCAGAGGAAAAGGAGAAGTTTGATAAACCAAATCCTTTCATTGCTGAAGATAATGAAGAAGAAGAAAAGGTGGCATCCGTTGGTTACAGGTAAATTGTTCTTGTATAAATATAGATTGAAGACTAAGATCTAAAAAAGGAGATATTGTGCTTTACAGCGTGTATAAAAAAATTAGAACATTTAAAAAATGTCCAGCAAACTATCATTTCATCAACATCCATGTATTTTGGCATTGTCTGATTTATCGCTGTTCAAACCGAGCTCTAGCATGTAGGGCTAGAATTCGCATGTAAAAGAGAGGTAAAATACAGGCCAACAGAGAGGGCTTGCCCTTTACGTAGAGCTCATGTTAACAGCCCCTAAGAACCATGTGATATTTCTTCCATTACTTTGTTTAAATACTGATGAGTTATAAATTTTCTTTAGAGTAAAGATACTATTATGCCTGGAGGGTAAAATGTTATCTATCATGACCAAATTCCTTATTTGTGTATATGTATAATAAAATGTAAAGATTTACAATGAGATTTTATGTATAAAAATTTGCAATGAGTTTGTTATAGAATGTGACTCGTTTTCATTGTGTGATTGGTTCATTTCATTTTGAATTCAAATTTAAAGCTCGTGTCATTAACTCACTTCTTTCTTCTTCTGTCAGATCCATATCTTCATCAGAACTGCTTTCATTTCTGTCATACGATTCATGTTTAGACGTTGATTCAACATTTTGCATTCTATAAAGAAACAACAGTATTTGCTCTCATGTTCATACCAATGATGGAAAAAAAAATTGAAAAAGGAGAAAGTAAACTGGAAACACAAAGCTTTCAATAATTTACTTTTCTGCCAACTTTTTTGGATCTAGTTTTTCATTGGACTCAGTATCAGAATCTTCACAAGAATAACTGTAAGGCGTTGGCGGTTCATTTATCTTCATGTGACCATAATCTTTGTTTGATGGATGATATGTTTGCAAAATGTTCATTTCATCGAAATGCACCTCCACACTATAAACAAAGGTAAGAGTTCTTGGATTAATCCTTCTCAAACAGCACTACACACTAGTAAATGTGGCGATCACTGCTATGATAACAGTGAACAATTTGGTGTATTATAAACTGCAAAACTTTGATTTGAAAAGCAGCCAATTTCATAGATCATACCATTGCTTCTGACACCTTATTTAAAAATAAATTCAAATTCTATACGTTAAATAAGTAGATTAATACAGTGTTTTATTAACTGCAGAACAAAGAGTATTTATTGTTCGATCTTGCTGTAGTGAAACTCACACAGTTTTAATCATAGACCAAACAGGAAAATTTATATAAAAGGTATACGTACAAACTGTGGCTAACAAACCTGAAATTCCTTGTAATTTCTGAATAAATACTGCAGAATCATGCAAACTTTAAACTTCGATTGATTTCAATGGGTTGTTAACTTGTTGTTTTTTTACATCTTGTAGTTGGAAGTCGGAAATAAGAAAATAAAAGATGTTCGCCTTGCATGTTTTGTTGACAAATGAATATTTTCAAAGTATTAAAATGGGTTGTTAAGTGTTTAAGTTGACATTTCGCTAATTACTTTCATTTAGCTTCGCTATGTACGTTGTTTGTTAGAATTATGATTCAAATTATCCACTTCAAATTTATTTCAAAACAGATCACTGTGTTTTATGACAAAGATTTGCGTACACGACTGATAGTCAAATACTTTTATGAAAGTCTGTTTCGTCAGTTTTAAAAGCCAGACAAATGTGTAAAGATACTTAAGAACTTAAGAGTCCTTGACAATCTTAGTTTAAACATTTTCACAAAAATAATCAAATCTACATCACCGTATTTATTTTCATTTTTAGCGAAAAATATAAATTTATAGAAGTTACTAATGTACCTCTGATCCTCCAAAGAATTAGTCTGTTTTAAGATTCCTTTAGGTGTTTTACCAGAGGAAGTAGACGCCATCTTATCTCGATATTGACATTCTTGTAGACTCCTTTTGACTTTCACTTACTTGAAGTAATGAGAATCGCGCCAAATTTGTTATTAGAATGGTTATTATTTCTATTGCTTACTTCCGTTTACTCATTTCCTGCGTTGTAAATATATCTTTGTATGTATGGTTTTAAATATCATTCTGTCCGAGGATGACTTTGAAATAAAGTCGAAAATTTACAGTTCACTTCTTGTCTTGTTTTGATTCATATTTTGCAATCTCAAGATGTCTTGCTTCTTCGGAATTTGTTTTGTACTATATTTCTTTAAATTGTCGGCTGGTCATGGTTTTTGTTATTAGAACATGGCGTAAATGCAACATGTGGTAAGTTTCTGCCGTAAAGTGGCATGTATAACCGCAAATACAACTGGTGCAACCTAAGAGGGAAATTTCAGTGCCATAATTTAGTACAATTTTAAAATTTCATGTATGAGAACAATATTTCTTCGTATATGTATGTTTTTTAGAGTTTGCAAAAGTTCGAATGCAAGCGATCAACAGGGCTCACTCAGTTTTCGTAAATATCTATCTGAGAAGTCTGGCTGAGAGAATGGTACTTCGACTAATTATGGTCTAACTTTGTTAATTCACGAACACAGTACTGGCAGTGATACTGGTTTTTGTTAGTTGCGGTATTTTTGGATTACACCTGGTAAATGTGTCAATTCATGAAGAAATTCAGACGCTCAAATGAGCTCTTTTACAGTAACGTGAAGAGGAAAGAGACCACACAAAGAGTTGATGCGGTATGAGTTTTTAAAGTGTTGTTTTTATTGTTTATTTGTAGTTGCACAAATTCATATTAATTTATATTTATTAGCACAGTCATATCAACAAAAGTACAAAACAACAAACAAACAACATTTATATACCGGCCAGTATTAATCCCCGCCAGGGGGGTTGACCGGTCCATGAATTTTTCCACGCCACACGTCTCTATCTCTCGCCATATCTCTCGTTATACCCATCGCCTTCATATCACTGTTCACAGCATCCATCCATCTCTTTCTCGGTCTACCTCGTTTGCGTACTCCATCAACATTCATATGCAACGTTCTACGAATTACATACATATCAACATACATACATTGAACATACATATCAACAAAAGTATGTGTTCAAATTTATTTATGTCTACAAAAATATATCCCCTCTGTTAGATTAATGTTTGAAACGTTATCAAGTAACATTTGTTTCATTGGGTGCAATTTCTCGGTATGGATGGCTAAGGCTTATGCAATTATTAAAGAATGTGATCAATTCTGGAATGTTTGTTATCTTTGGTTTCACATGCATACAGATTGGTTTTTTCCATTTGGTTAAAATATTAAATACCTATAATGATTTATTGACTTTGAAGATAATCTTATTCTTCTCATATAAATGTTAAAGTGAATCTACCATTAATTTTCATTAATGGTTTTGCTGGACGCCACTTCAAACATTGTTTTTGTGTGACAGAATGCTCTTGATTCGTCTTGAACCTTTCCTGTTTATTTTTTGCATGAACATATCAACAGAAAGTTTGCAGGAAAACTATAATATAGTTTTTTTATAATATAACTATAGAAAAACTATAATTTAGAATGTGTAGTGTATGCTCAGAGCATGTCTTATGTAATAATTTGTGATGCAGCCTCTAGAATCACTGTTAGAGGCTTGTCTCAATCGACCACCAATGTAAAAAAGAGGTTTGCTGTGAAATAACTGTGTCTCTCTGTTAAAAAAGAGGTTTTGCCGTGAAGCGACTGTGTCTCTATGTTAAAAAAGAGGTTTTGCTGTGAAGTGACTGTGTCTCTATGTTAAAAAAGAGGTTTTGCCATGAAGCGACTGTGTCTCTATGTTAAAAAGAGGTTTTGCTGTGAAGTGACTGTGTCTCTATGTTAAAAAAGAGGTTTTGCTGTGAAGTGACTGTGTCTCTATGTTAAAAAAGAGGTTTTGCCGTGAAGCGACTGTGTCTCTATGTTAAAAAAGAGGTTTTGCTGTGAAGTGACTGTGTCTCTATGTTAAAAAAGAGGTTTTGCTGTGAAGCGACTGTGTCTCTTTGTGTCTCTTTGTTAAAAAAGAGGTTTTGCCGTGAAGCGACTGTGTCTCTATGTTAAAAAAGAGGTTTTGCTGTGAAGTGTCTGTGTCTCTATGTTAAAAAAGAGGTTTTGCTGTGAAGCGACTGTGTCTCTTTGTTAAAAAAGAGGTTTTGCCGTGAAGCGACTGTGTCTCTATGTTAAAAAGAGGTTTTGCTGTGAAGTGTCTGTGTCTCTATGTTAAAAAAGAGGTTTTGCCATGAAGCGACTGTGTCTCTATGTTAAAAAAGAGGTTTTGCTGTGAAGTGACTGTGTCTCTATGTTAAAAAAGAGGTTTTGCTGTGAAGCGACTGTGTCTCTTTGTGTCTCTTTGTTAAAAAAGAGGTTTTGCCGTGAAGCGACTGTGTCTCTATGTTAAAAAGAGTTTTGCTGTGAAGTGTCTGTGTCTCTATGTTAAAAAGAGGTTTTGCTGTGAAGCGACTGTGTCTCTATGTTAAAAAAGAGGTTTTGCCATGAAGCGACTGTGTCTCTATGTTAAAAAAGAGGTTTTGCCGTGAAGTGTCTGTGTCTCTATGTTAAAAAGAGGTTTGCCGTGAAGCGACTGTGTCTCTATGTTAAAAGAGGTTTTGCCATGAAGCGACTGTCTCTATGTTAAAAAGAGGTTTGCCGTGAAGTGTCTGTGTCTCTTTGTTAAAAAAGAGGTTTTGCCATGAAGCGACTGTGTCTCTGTTAAAGAGGTTTTTATGAAGTGACTGTGTCTCTATGTTAAAGAGTTTTTGCCGTGAAGTGTCTGTGTCTCTATGTTAAAAAAGGGTTTGCCATGTGAAGCGACTGTCTCTATGTTAAAGAGGTTTTGCCGTGAAGCGACTGTGTCTCTATGTTAAAGAGGTTTTGCCATGAAGCGACTGTACTCTATGTTAAAAAAAGTTTGCCATGAAGCGACTGTGTCTCTATGTTAAAAAGAGGTTTTGAAATGAAGTGTCTGTGTCTCTTTGTTAAAAGAGGTTTGCCATTGAAGCGACTGTGTCTCTTTGTTAAAAGAGGTTTGCCATGAAGCGACTGTGTCTCTATGTTAAAAGAGAGGTTTTGCCATTGAGATGTCTGTGTCTCTATGTAAAAAGAGGTTTTGCTATTGAAGTGTCTGTGTCTCTCTGTTAAAAAAGAGGGTTTTGTAATGAAGCGACTGTGTCTCTATGTTAAAAGAGGGTTTGCCATGAAGCGACTGTGTCTATGTTAAAGAGAGTTTGCCGTGAAGTGTCTGTGTTTCTATGTTAAAAGAGTTTTGCTGTGGTGACTGTGTCTCTTCTGTTAAAAAGAGTTTTTTGCCATGAAGCAGCCTGTGTCTCTATGTTAAAGAGGTTTGCCGTAGGTATCATCTCTATGTTAAAAAGATGTTTTGCCACATGAAGTGACTGTGTCTTTATGTTCTCTAACTTTCATAACATTTTGCAGCCCTAAATTTTCTTCCCTTGAAGTAGCAGTGCAAGCAAGCTGTTTCATAATATAGTTATAATACTATTCAGAAATGCAAAGAAGATGAAGTGGGATGATACAACTGGATGGGTTTTGTACATTAATGAGGATTATTGGGTTGGAAAACAAAAATTGTTGGCAAGTGCAGTAACAATTTCTTGTTCTTCAGTTAAAGAATGAAAAACATTTAATTGTTTATCATGGTGTTTACTGCTTCAGAATAGCAAAAGAAAAAGATCGCATTCACTTTCTATGGAAGATACTAAATGTTGCTTTGAACAGCATATTTAATTGGCCAACGATCTAACTGAATTTCAAACTTACTGAAAAATTTAATTTCATGATAAGCTCACACTCAACTCTCATTCCACTGAAAGTTATGTAGCCAACCAAATTACAACTGGTCATGTTTGTAACTTCACATCAATATCATAATTTGTTTTGCTTTAGAAAAAAATACTCGATTAAAAACATACTTAAAACAAAACATACTTTCGATTTGCCCGAGACAGATTGCAGGGGTAAACACCGACAGTATTTAACAAATCGGATAACATGAAGTAATGTAGGTATTCTCTGATCAAACCTTGACTAAGTTGAAACGGTAACTTTCCCTTGTGTTTCAAAAAAATTCATTAAACTACGGTGATAAACATGGCTAAAAATGGCTCGAAAATACGGTCAATTATCCGAGAAATACAAACAGTTATGGTTTCGTGGGTAAGGGATGCTCTAGGTTATAAGAATGGTTTGTGGGAATTCTGTTACAGTGGTACTCAAATTCATGAAGAACTAGAAAAACTGGAGGACTTGATAAAATTGACATTAAGGATGGAGTTGTTGACGACCTGTACTACACATTGCTACAGCAAAGCGTTGGTTTCTGAATGGAGAACAACGGAAGAGTTATTGAGCATTATGGCTACAAATACAGAAGACATGTGCTGAGGATATGTGGGAAAAGAGCTCCTGGGCTGACCACAACAAGGCATGTTTCATGTTACGACCTCTTGAGGAAAAAGGTTACATTATTCCATTTAATGAACGAGGTGGAGGATGTGGTTGCAGCTATGAGATCCATGTGTATAGTTTGATGTTTCCTTGTGAAGATCAAATTGAAATGTTAATGAAATTGCTGTTTAAAAGTGGAAGGATGTCTCATAATCACCCACAGGTATTCACCTTTCATAATAAAAGCAACAATTTCAGATCATGTATCAATTATCAAGTCACTAATGTCTAGTGTTTTGTCTATCAACAAGTGTTGCTTTGTATACAGTTGCTAGGTTTTCCTGTTATCTGCATTGCTTTTCATTTTAACAAACCTTTATAGTAATTTAGCTAATCCTATTGCTTTTCTTAGCTAAATGTTTTATCTTCAACTCTTCCTGATTACTTACTTGATGAAGCCATTACCATGAATGTTTCATATCCTTTTATCTAATATCAATTTATAAATAAATAGAAGGTTGACCTTAGGTTTGCATAAGTTGATGCAATCCATCATTTTCT